TCTGGCTATAGAATTTATTACAAAGAAGCATTGTTACAACACAGAAATCATCTACMAAACACACATTTCCTTACTTTTTGTGCTAGTTGTAAGAACCTGCTGCTGGCTGGCATAAAGAGAGTATCACAGGGACGGCATCATGACTGCCTTCACTTTGAATTTTTTGCTTTTATGCCCTAATGCGTAAAGCATGGAATCGTGGAATCTAGTCTGAAGTGTATCTTGGTTGTTTTTCAAAGACCACCCTTAATTTGTTTTCAATATTGTGAGCCCAGTCCATATGGTCACAGGCGCAATTAATGTTTCAGATGGAAGGAGCATTATTTGTCAGAAGTTACGAAGTTTACRGTCTGATGAAATCAGCTGAACATTTTAGAACTGTACAGCTAAATGGTTCATTCCAATTTGTTTTGATAGTGATCAAAWATGTGAAATTCAATATATTATTAATCACTCTGCAAAACTTTTTAATAAAAAGCATGTTGAATCTGAGAAGTGTTTCAATATACATAAATTGATTACTTTAGTTCATGGCTCGTAAACTTGCTCTAATGGGAGAACAATCTCTTCCTTATCAACAGCTCTGTTCCTCAGTCCTTCTCCAGACTAAAAGCATGTGCTTTACATTTATCAGTGTCATTCTGTTGTACAAAAAATGCTCATTTTTGCTCAGATATTTCAGTTGAGACCATTATTTTATTGAATCTATTAATCCCTGATGAAAAAAGTGGTCAGTGGAGAGTGTCATCTAACCAAGCCGTTTGTTGCAAAATTAATCAACTTTAAAAGTTATATGCTTATAGATAACTATTCACAATTTGCTTTTCAGGAATAATAAATTGATAATCGTTTGTATTGGTCACACTGATGAAATTTAATTTATAACAGTTAACTAAGATCTGTTAATTCAATTTCAGTCTTTAAATGTTATGTTTTTTACTGACGTCTAATAAATGCACATGAAATTATTCACATTGGGTTTTATATAACTAGCTCGAAAGTATCAAAATTATAGCAAAGAAGCAAAGTAAAGAAAAGAACAAAGGAAAATTTAAAAGCCTAAATTAGATCAAATGGCTTCGTCTCACTTGAATATTGAGGGTAAAATTAGCTCAGTTAAAGAACCCATCCATAAAATATTTAGACATTCCTCTGACGTTGCAATAAAAGGACTAAAAACACAGCAAGAATTCCCGAGTATCTTATTTTAGAAGGTTATAAAAATTTAAAGAATAGGCRAGCATGGGAATAAGGAGGAAGAATTACAGCAACTTAGAGCTTCTGTGTTACTGTCAGGAGAAAAGAACCATAGGTTTTCCTAAGACTTAGGAATAAAAAAACAAGGATTATTTTTAAATCCAAACTGACAAGTTAAAGGTAAACTCTTAGCTTGTATGTTGCTCTCTGATCTGCTCTTTTATAGTTTCACTGTAAAATAGAAATTTTACTGGACACGATCTGATGGATGTACATCTACAGTGATTAATGTTTGGAGTCAACCCAGTACAAGATGGCCACAACAGCTAAAAGACAACCAAACACAAAAAAATCACTCATTTAATTTTACAAATACTAGGCTGCAATTTGATACAGTCGTAACTGAGAGTCATCTTCATCTTGCTTACGTTTTGTACAACATCCATGTTTTAAACTTTGGTGTTAATCATATTAATTTGTCTTTTGGTAAAATATCTTATGAACTAGTAGGCTAACTTTAATGAATCTCGTAAAAATATCACTGAAGATATCTACACTGGAGTCAGCCTGGTTTAGGATGCCCCCACAAGAAACTTGGCAAATACAAATATATATAAAAAAAATAAACGCTATAAATTGCGACAGAGTATTAGGGCCACACTAAGAGATTTTTTGTCAATTACAAGAATAAAATCTTAATGTTTTGAGAATAAAGTCATAATGTTATGAGAAAAAGTCAAAGGGGAATAAAGTCAAAATAAAAGTCATATCACAAGAAAAATGTCAAAATATTATAAAAAAAATGTACAAGAATAAAATCAAAATATTACAGAAAAAAGTCATAAAGGTACAGGAATAAAGGTCAAATTATTACAGGAAAAACGTTTAATTATTACAAAAAAAAAACAGTTGTAATATGACAAGAACTCCTACATGAAAAACAGTCTTCTCACTGCGTTAAAGGAACGTTGAGCATCTTGCGAAGTTGTACTTTGGTATGTTTATCACCATGGATTCACATGATAAACTAAAGCCGTATGGAATTTCAKTTAATGGCTGTATTAACAGATTTAGTCATATCATAATGTGGATAGAAACATMTTACACTAAATCGCAAATTACTTCACAAACACAGTGACACACATTGGAGGCTGTCTACAGTTATGTAAAATTTATGTATTGTTMTGACTTTTTTCTTGTAATATTTTGACTTYATTCTTAACAATCTCATAGTGTGGCCCTAATTAGGCTAAATCTGRTGGTGTAGTAAGTGCTGAAAGATTGTGTGAGATTTTTATTTCAAACTTCRGCATGCAAGGCAATAGGCAGAAGGCAATCTCTCAAGGAATTTTAGTTTTAATTGCTCAGAATGTTTTTTGTGATTGATTATTATTTCCTGCATGGTTCAGCCTTCACAGTGCAGAATGTAAACTTTGTGTTATTTTTATTTTTTATTCAGAACTTGGCATCATGAGGGTGTATTGTGTTTTTTTTTTGCTGCTGCTCCAAACATCAGCTAGCCTGGTAAAAAACCAGACCCTTGTCCTTCACTTTGCTTCGTGCAGAGGGTCTGGACTCACTGTTATTGAGAAGCGATTTCTTGCTGGAGGTGTGGTCTCTGCTGAAGTGTGTGTGTGTGTCATTGTGAAGAAGGCTAAGCTAAGAAGCTAACCGGAAAGTGAGCGCTGTAAACAACCCTACTGAGAGGAGAGAAGTACTGAGCTGAACGAGACGACTGTAAATGAGAGCTGCTGCTTTGTCAGACAATTTTAATTTAATTTGGAAACCTTATCAACACAGACTGGCTTCATTCACTTCCTCCACTGCCGTATGCTAAACTAACTAGCAGACACTGCGCAGAAAATCGACGTTTTGTTCTCTGATTGGSYCGGCTAAAAATCTRCCAGCGAAATCCTTGTCTATGGGAGAAATCCCAGATGGAGCARAGARGMRAAACTAGAATTGAGYGGAGCTGCGTAGGAAGGCAAGGGCCAGGTTAAACATCAGCCAACCTGGATGCTACTAAAAACTCACATTAAGTGACGCCAAATCTTTCTATTAGGGGCGAGACACTTGACACAACGTGAAACTAATTAATCTCAACAGCTTCCAAATAATGTATTTGTGACTGAAGCTGTGTGAGTCAGTGTACCTTGTTTAGTGCATGAAAACAATTATTATTTCTTYWTCAGATAATAAACAGTTCTTTCTTGTCAAACCTTTTGCAGATCAAATTATATGCATAGSAAAATCCAACATAAACTGAATGAAGGGTGCATATTTTTTGTGTGTTTGTACTTATCATTTGCTTGTAACTCCCTGTGACTGATTGACACTTGTTTTTTTCTCACTCCGTAACCACAGAGCACACAATTAACCCCAACATGCAGCAGAGAATAAGGTCAGGTTGTTCTGCATTGTAAGTGATGAGCACTTGGCTCCACACTACCAGCAAACCTCTTTTATTTTATTTTGAGTAACTGTTWAAAAAATTAAATAATCAGCTGACTAATTTTCATCTACACTTGAGCACAAAAGCTTTTTTTACCCATTTTACTCCTCTTTGCACTCAGTTTTTATGTTCTTTTATTTCATGTCGCCTCTTTTCTTTTTGTTGTTGCCACTTTCTCTGTTGCCTTCTTTTTTATCATCTCCTAATCTACAWACAGCAGGAGCTCAGCATAACATTCAACATTCACTGACATAATTGTGAAAACTAAGACGTTCAGGGTGAACCCCATCATGTTTCTTTTTTTTATTTTGTTACACCGCAGGTCACTGCAGCGTGCGACAAACAGCTGTTGAACATCTGAAGAGTGTGTAGTATGTGTGGAGCTGTTTGTGCTTCAGTGTTGACCGACAAATGCTTTTTAGAAAAAATAATTATTATATCAGYAGGTTGACAAACTGATATTCTTGCTTTTTTATGGGGCATAGATCTCTGTTGTTTTTTTCAGTTAGTAACCTGACCTGCAAGTGAGCTGCGTACTAGACACCCACAGTGCAAACACTCACAGCACTCGGTCCAGATACCACAAAGAATGACAGCCTTTTGGCAGCCCAGATGTGGTTTGCCAGAGGTAGTCCATGAATCGGCCAGCACCACATAAAAAAACCCACAAATGGGCCAGTTGTGCAAGATGGCGGCTGCCTGTAATGGCGACCCGCAACCATGGACACATAAACAGCTTTTTATAAGGTAAAAATAATAAAACAAGGTCTTTGTCTGCAATGATTAGACATGTTTTTTATTATTGTCATTAGCGATTATCTCAATTTCGGCTAAAAGAATTGACAAAATCCTACACACTGTGTCTTTAAATCAAATTTATTAACTTACTCCACCTTTTTGTTGTGTGGTTCTCCTTCTGTTATACATCCATGAACAAATCATAATTTTCAGAAAACAAGTGACTGGTTTAGTAATAATAATTGCTTTTTATTTACTTTGAAATCAGGGGCGATTGCTTTAAGACTGCAAGGGAATATCAGCTTCCCCTAAAAGGTAAAAAAAAAATATGAGTGATCAAATACAATATATACTGTTGTGTGTACATGTCATTGACTAAATATGCGCTTCAACGCACTCAACTTTTGTTCAGAATCAGCTTCTTATCACTGGTAAGGATGCAGCTTTCCTCTCCCTCATTCCCGCAGCTTCACGGTGCTTTAAACAGTGCGGACGCTGAGCATCCACAGAAGTCAAAAGCAAAGCAAAAAGTGCAGCTTTCTTGTGAGTAAAAATGGTTTATTCAAATTTTGCTTCCAGATGTTTGTTTTCTAATGTATATTTAATTACTCACTCGACAGTTGCTTAGCTCCTCTGCAGACAGGATGATCGTGCCACATTTCTTCCCAGGAATCCCACTGAAAAGGGAGAAAAAAAAGTTTATGGAAATCAAAAACACATTTTTACTCAGCCTTTGCCCTCGGCTGATCAATAAAATCTGCTGTGAGAACGAACTAACCGTGTTTTTGCTTCAGACTGTCAAATATAACGTTTATATTCACATGAAATATWATTGATAAGACAGAATATTTCATTTCTGCCCTACCTGTTTTATCTATATCCATTTGGTTTCTGTCTAAACAACGACAACACTGTGCCAACTTCTCACTCACAGGTCTCTGTGCAGCTGAACGAACCCTCTGCAGGCTGAGAGAAATCTATTGTGGGGCAGAAATAACCTGCTTTTACAATGTATTGCTGTCAATTGTGTCCACTGTTGATGTATTTTTCACTATTTATTTATTTCTGGGGGTGGGGGGTGTCTGAAAATTCTACAAGAATGAAAGCTTGAGAATGACAGAAGCATCAAACATGCAGGCATAGATTGTATAAATATACACATAATATTCCAATATATAGAAAAATATACAAATGCAAAATCATCTGCTACACAAATATTAAGTTTTACAATTTGAAAAGTTTGATATTAAAGAAAAATAAAAAATTAAATGAATGTTAAAATGTTCAGATAAGACATGTATCAATTAAAACCAATTCATTAGAAATAATTAAGTTTATAATTTCTAAATTGACGATGGGATTACACGCCGAAAACACAACTTTTTGTTAGATGTGGTGGGATCCAGGTAAATATGTTTGATATGGCAATATTTATTTACCAAAGACGGTCAGTCAGGAAGTCTGCCGTGTTGTGACTGGCTCTCGTCAGTGGAGAGCCAATGATATAACATCATGTGACATGCTAACAGCCAATTACCATTCGACAAATGTAACCACCTAACCAATAACAGGGCTCTCAGCCCAGAAGCTACCTTATCAAAATAAGGAGAGGTCATGCATTGCAGGAGTCTTGAAGTCTGGGCCGATAGAGTAAAACAGCCGAAACTAGTTAATCATAAGATATGATTACTGGACAGTGTCAAGGTAGAACAGATATACATAATTAATCCATAACAATGTTCATCTGACAAATCTTTGCAGCATTGGTCAGTTTGTACCCACACTATTTGAGTATGACCCACATCGTGTGTTGAGGTCCGATTAGTCGAAACCTCCCAACCTCATGCACAAGCTCAGGCCTCTTCCCCACCAGAGAGGTGACGACTTTGTCCAACTTAACAACTTTGTTGCTAAATTTAATGAGTTTTCAGACACCTCTAATGACCTTTTTTATTCCAAAAAGCAACAAATCTAGCACTATTTACAGCGTCATGTAAGACTTTGGGGTTACTGCACTTTGATCAACGAGCAGCAAGTGGTGTGGTGAGCCCCTCCCCCTTTCCAAAGCACTGACAAGTGGTCCGACTCATTAAAGCAGCCGGTTCGGATGTTATCAGTCCATTAAATGGACATTATTAGTGGTTATCAGTCCCACAGAATGGCTTTAGACGGTCCTGACAGTGCCCCCTAGTGGGTAACCAGTGCCATATACGTCGGAATGCAACAATCTGCTACCGACAGAGTCCGGTCTACTTCACTGTAGCCCATGTCATTTTCTCTAAAATTAACCTTAGTGGCTTTATGCCTCATATTAACCAGATTGCATAAAAAACCTTAGTGTTTTTATGCCTCATACTAACCAGCTGACAGTCTGAAGCCATTCTATGGGACGGATAATGGCTAATAACGTCCATTTAATGGATGATAACATCCGAAGCGGGTGATTAAAGCCCTGCACAGCAACCAAAGCTGCTGCTGCTCCCACCCTGTTTTACAAAGCGGGATGTCATTTTTACTGAAAAGTGGKTTTTTTTTTCACTGACTCAGTAAAATAAATCCTGACCCCACTACATTTGCCTCACAGTCACTTCTTCACCTCGTCCACCCTGTGTGCCTCTGTATCTAATTGTCTTTTAWTTATTATTTGATATTCTCACAAAAAGTATTTACGTAATGTGTATCTAAGCGACTCCATATGCAGGTCTAAGCATATCATTTACTGTTTTTTCCCTGTAACGTTATCCACCTCTCCTACAGTTTAGGTCACAATTATTGGCACATGTCCAAATATGCAAATAAGCAGTTGACTATATTTTGTGACTTTTAGGAAAACCAATGGTGACTTTTCTTACTGAGGAGTTGGCAACAGTGGTTCTGTGTCCCAAATGCCAGAGCTTCAGTAAACTAGGACCAGAGCACCAAGGCTCCTGCCTTTGGTTGCCATAGCATTTTGTACCTGATGCATTTGGCAAGTGGTGAGCCCATGAAGCTCATTCAGGCTGAGTCTGACAGGGCTCCATGGATAAAAGCCCAATCATGCATTTGCCAATAAGCCACCCCCCTGACTCCAGGGTGTGGGCCTCCACAACCCAGCTTTAGTAATGATGGATTTCAGGTTTTCACATAACATGCTAAAGTAAAAAAATAAAAAATAAAAATAAAGTGAAAAGTGTTTTCCAGCTGTGTAGGAAAGTGATTGTGGCTCCACTGTCAAGTTTGAATGTTTAAAGGCATAAATAGGGACCTTTGATCTACACAGTGGAAGACTGGATTCGATCCTCAGGTGGGGAAAAACCATCCTGATCACAGAAGTGATTGAGGCATGGAACAGCAACGGGCTTTCTTCATATCACTTAAAACTTTTCCACACACACCTTCACACGTTGACCACCTTTTCAGCCACAGGCTCTAACAAGGCCTTCTAAAGCCAATAACCATTCTTCTCTGCTTATTTACTTTTTGTTCACCTTTTGTTACTCAATCAATTCTCTCCTCCAGAAATAGGCCATTGGATAATTTAAATCAACAGACCAATGAGTTTAGGTTACACAAGTGGTGGTGTGCTGTGATTACAAGCTGTGGTTACACAAAAGCTGCAGAGCAAAGCCATYCACTAATTGCATTTGTATGTGAACATAGCATTCTTTGTAAATAACTGTAATACAAATTTAAGGGCTATTTACAACAGGCAAGACATTTTTCATCATAACCTTATAGGTCAAGCGAATATGCTGAGAAACTCTTGTTTTCACCTGTGCAGGTGTGACAATTTATCAAACTTCTATATTTGTGCTCGCTATCACTTCAAGTAAAACACTGTACATCTCCAATTAGGTTGCAAAACAGCATTTAGAGATCATACATTTTGTTTGCGGCTGCAGAAAATTACACATTTTYAGACATAATTAGGGCTGTTGAAGGACCCACATTCGGACATTCTGGTTACACAATCACAATGAAGTAACCCAAACTGAGACAAAAACTGCAACAAATAAAAGTAACTAGGAAYAAGAGAAAATAAGAAGAAAATCTGGCACTAAACTGGATTTGTTAAGGTCATTAGATAATAACAGTTGCGCTGATTAAGAAGGAAAAATATACAGTATGTTTCCTTTGGTTTGCTTCTGGCTGCTGTTTTCTTCAGGAGTCAACGCAACAAGTGAACTTGTATGAAAGATATGACAACTGATCTACACCAGATGGCCCCCGGGCTCAAACCTGCAGCCTCAGGATTATGAGACTGTGGCACTGACCACTGAGCTACCCCAGCTCAATAAAAGGAAACAGTGAGGAGCAATAGAAGGAAAATACTAAAAAAATTAACAAAACAACAACAAAAAGTCCTTCAAACCCATGCAAATTGTGACAGCTTATTCTGGTTTAYTGTGATTTTTAAAACATCAGCAATGTGAACACATTATTCAACACAAATGCTGCTAAACATGATGCAAATTCATGGTCCTTGGTAAGATTTTTAAATAATAAAAACTTAGTGAGCGCACAGAAAGTTGGAGCCTGGCTTTGTGTAAAAGGGGCTTTGTTTCCATTTTAGTTTTCAGGTTCAGTATAAAGTCTTGACAGTGTAACTTTTAGCAAATTAAAACACTTGAAAATAACTTGTTTCTAATGTGGCTTCTGTTTAAACATTCAGATTTGTTTTGTAGAATAGCCTGCTGGGATAATCTGTGTGCAAGATRCGCAGTTTTCAAATAAGTTTTCAAATATAATAACCTCAAAATGTGTACACTAGGTTGCCTTCGGGCCAGGCCTCCCTTGAAAAAGAGATCTGTGATTTCAATGGGATTTGCCTGGTTAAACGATGGTAAAATAAATAAAATTAAATAATGTTTATAATAAAGGATATAAAAGTGAAAAACAGATCAAATAGTGAAAACCTAAAAGCATTCTTTTGCCTGTGCATATCAAAATCCTCTGTGCCCTGTTCATTAGAAATAACTAGAGGGCAATTAAATGATCAAATGATAAATCATTTTCTGACTTGAGATTAATTTTCAGTGTTTTTTTTATTTATTTATTTTTCCTCTCTTAAAATTAGGATGCTAAGTTAAAAAGAGTCAAATAATATCTTGAGCTGTTTGGGAGGTGGGAGTTAGAAAGTTCTTTAGGTGAAACTTTTTAATGAAAAAAAATCTAAATAATTCTTTGTCCCGTTAGCAGCACACGAATGATGTTGCCTATCCATTAAAAATGCTTCAAAGACTCATAGGTTGTACTTAGAGTGGATGGCTGTGCATTTATAGGGTTCACATGCAGAAACATTTTTGGAAAAAGAAAATATTTCATGTGTAAGGCTGTATGAGAAGCCAAGAAATGAAAGAATAAAAATATACAGACACCATTTTTATTCAGTGATGAGAACCTGTATTTAGAGAATTCTACTGTCATAAACTCAAGCTAATTAACAAAGATGCTATGAAAACCACACACACACACACAGAGACACACACACACACACACACACACACAC